GGAGGAGATCGCGGCGGAGGGGTGTGAAGAGGCGGGCGATGATTTCTGCGCACCGAAAGATGATAGAAAAAGGCGCAAGCGAAGGCAGAAGGCGCAAGGGATGTCCAGAAGCGGAGAAGAGGGACATCAAAAGGAAAAGAAAAAGAGTAAATGTAACCCGGAGTGTTCCTCTGGTAGAGAGGACAGTGCTGGCGATGTTTCCGACACTCGGAAAAAATCCAAGAAGAGAAAGAGAAGGGAAGAAAACAGTGGGATGGTTCCCAGATCTTCCGAAGGGAAGAAGGGCGGTGCTGACAGACCCCCAAAGCTCCAGAAGGCACAGAGGGAGGAGCGGCCGGCAGCCAGAGCGAAGGACGGGCAGCGGGCAGCTCTCCTTGCAGCAAAGGCGGCCCGTGGGCGGGCGGATGGCAGTGCTGCTCTGATGGCTGGTAAAAGCACCTCCAAAAATCTGACACCGGAGGCCCAGAAGCAGCGGGTGGGAACGTCGGAGTCCTCCAGCACGTCGTCCGACAGCGACAGCAGTGAATCAGATGTAAAGCACAGTAAATCTTCCCACAGACCTGCAGCAGCAGCGCTTCCCAGAGACAAAGCACACACTGCAGTGACTGCTGTTGCTCGTAATCAAATGTCTCATGCTGAACATTGCAGTAAGACTGCAGTTAGTAAAAACGCTAAGAAATCGCAGTCCTCCAGTTCTGATTCTGACTCAAGCTCCGAAGGTGAAAGAGCAGCAGCAGCAGCACAAGGCAGTACTGCAAAGCAGGCGCTGCCCAACAGTGCAGCAGCAGCACAGACTGGGACCACTGCTGCTCCCAAAGCCAGAAGCTCCTCCTCTGAGTCTGACAGTTCTGATTCAGAAACACTTGTCATTAAAAAACCTGCAGCCAATGCTGGACTGAGTAATTCCATAGCAACAAATGGTTCCAAACAGTCACCAGCGGGAATCCAAGGGCCGACTGCTGGGCCGGGGCGTGGGAGAGGGCGTGCAGCAGGAGAGGGGAACTTCTGGAGAGGACCGAGGGGCCGGGGGTTCCGGGGGATGGTGAGGGGCCGGGGCAGAGGAGAAAGCCCTGGGTTCTTCTATAGCTACAGCAGCGAAGGCCAGAAACAGAGGCAGTTACACGAAGCTGTGACAAATACTTCTGTTCCTGTCCAGGTGAGTGACTTATGGAGTCATTGACCAGCTCTCTCTCACAGCTTTAACTGTACAAATAAAGTACAGCATGAGAGTAATTCAGAAAAACTGAAAAAGGTAAGTAGGGTAAAGGCCGATAGATCTGAACAATAAGTCTGATGTTCGCAGTATATATCCTGCAGAAGTGTTTATGAAACAATACTTAAGCGATTTTTTGGTGGAATAATTACTAAGGGCAACTTGGAAAATGAAGGCACAGCGTTGTTCACGGCGCTGCAAAGCAGAGTGCAGCTGATGTGCTGATATGCCAGCAGATGGCACTGTGGGTGGGACTACAGCCAGGTTCTGTTCTACAGCAGCTCCCTGGGCAGCCATAGTAGTGGTGTTGGCAACATCTGGAGAACTGATGTTACTGACTCTAATTGCAATGCTGGGATGGGAACTTGGTGGTACTAAGCTGTATATGTGCTACCCTGGGCTGCCAGTCTGTCATTTTTAGACAAACTGCCGTCCTTTGGGTGAACTTTGCTCATTATGCACTCGTTATAATACCAAAGCACACCTCCATTCCAAAAGATGCCCACCCCAAGGCACGACCTCCCCTCACTGAGCACTGCTCTGAATTCTTTAGCCTACACCTTGAAAAACTCTCCTCCCCCCACCCCCCAGGTGAGATTCACACACTTGGTTACACTGAGTGCTTCCCTGGGAAACTCAGAAATCTCTGTGGAGTTGTTTATAACCTAGCACACATGTGGCCAGGCTGTATTATTCTTAGTTCTTTGCAGAGGGTGAATTTATCAGCAGCTGTTTGTTTTGCAGAATGCTGTGGATATCCCCAAGAGAGACTACAGCGTTCTACCACTTCTAGCTGCCCCACCACAAGTGGGAGAAAGAATTGCCTTTAAGGTAAAGATCTTTGGAAGTTCTGAACATCAGTAGGTCAGTGTTGTTTCATTTGGGCCCTGTAAGTTCTGCAGGGAACCATACATAGTCCTGCCAACCAAAAGCTTGTATTTTAGATTTAGTTCTGGCACTGTTACCTTGGAAGTAAAAGAATTGGGAATCCATAAATTATTCTAATCTCACTTGCTTGTCCATTAGTCAAAAATCTGTTTTAAACTTCAGTGAGTGGTTCAGAATGTCGAACTGTCCAAATCTTTGTAGGCAGCTCTGAAGGCATTCGCTCCTCTCTTGCTGTCTTTCTAACCTAACACTTTTCCACAGAATAGAAAACACCACGGCTTGGTGTTAGCATCCCCATGTTCGTCTTTCTCTCTATAGTGTTTCTACAGTATTATTACAAAATTTACCATACAAATAGCTACACTTCACTGCAAAATAAAATGATTTTTTTTGAAAGAAGTAAAGAAAAATGAAATAATTGCTGCTGAGGAGACTGGATCCTTCTCCATGATCTCCTTTCACAGCCTTACCTGAACCAGAATCCCTCAGAGCAGTGAGTCCTGGCAGACTGTGATAGGCACCGGGATCTGGGAGCTGGGTGCCTTGGTTCCTGTGCTTCCCATTGATGAGGGAGCCATGTCTGGGGAGAGGATCAGGAGAAGCTGTCACTGATTTGTGTTTCTTTCAACAGCGCTTGGAACTAAATGAAAACTACAGTCCTGAAGTTTCATCATATAAGGTATTATTTTTTCTCTCTCCTTAATTCATTGAAAAAACTATTATGTGGGGTAGGACTTCAATATTTTGAGGTTATATACCAACTCTCATGTCACTCTGCAAACTGTTCCTGGTGAAGCAGTAAAATCAAAACTCTAAAACCTGAAACTAATTGAAAATATGAAAGGTGTAGCAGTTACTTAAAAAAGAAAACAAAGAGTATTAGAGTATTAATGATCATCATTGTTTTAGAGATGACAAATGCAGGCCTTCAAGGAGAAAACTGTAGCTGTATTTGAGTACATTGCTCTTCAAAGTCAAGACGAATTCCTAATGCTGGTGTAAGTAATTCTACACCTACTTGAAATAACTTGGTTTCTAGAAAGGTCATGATTTAAACTACTGTCAGTGACAGGATCATGAGTTTATCTATGCCAGAAACTGCAGATTGCTTAATTTTAATAGCTTGCAGATTTTGTGTATATATATATATATATACAGAGAGAGAGAGAGAGAGAGAGAATTAACAAACACATACTTCCTGTAATTGTAATCAAGTATCACAGTGGTTGTAACATGGAATAGTTACCCAGTGCTGAAGTATATCCTATCTGATTCTTTTCTTGTTCCTTTGTGAAGGAGGGGAGAATAATCAGTTGGAATGCTGATAAAAAACAGATCGAGCTTGAGATCCTTTCCTCATCAGCAAGCCAAAGTACGTACCTTGGGACACTGAATGCTTGTTGCTTTTTGTGCATCACTGGGGAGCAGCCAGTGTGAGGCACTTGGGAGCATATATAATCTCCTCCGCTTCTTTCTTAACCTCCTCCTTCTGTCCCCATTCTTTCCTTAAAAAGTCTTCCACCGAGTGTGGAAGGAGGCCATGCAATGACCTGGCAGCAAGGCTGTGTGTGGCACCTGACCTTTATACTGGTGGGAATGAGTCATCATCACAGCATTTCCTCAAATTTAGGCAGCATATTTTGGTGAATGTTCTCAGGCACACTGTTTTATTAGATAACCACCTCACTTTTGGTGTGTAGAATTCAATTCTTACCAGATTTTGTTAGAGTTCTAAACATTGCTGATATGCTTGCAATTCAAAAGATGCTGAGAGAGCTCATCCCACACAGGCTGATAAGGTGAGGTGCTGTTGCTGTGCTGTGATAAAGGATAAGTAGAGTGACATTCTTACAAATGCGGTGATTGCCTGAAGGAATGGAGCCTCAATTATTGCAGCTGCTTGGAGTAATAGTTTAAACAAAAAACCACATCCTACCAAACAAACAAACTGAAAAAACCCATGCATCCAACTGTGCTTGCCTCGCTTTATAACTATGGTAAAAATGTAAACCTTTTGCTTTTTGTTTATAGTTAACTACGTTGGTTTTTTTGCTTTGTTTTAAAAAGTTGCTAAAGAGCCTGGGAAGTTTGATCTGGTTTATCAGTCTGCAGATGGGGCTGAGCTGATCGAGTACGCTGTTCCTCAGGACACAAAGGTACGTGCCTGCCTTGTTCTGAAGGCGGCCCCGTGGTTTTGCTGACACATTTCCCTGCTTTACAACACTGTTCATTTCTGTCCTTGTATAATGGTGCATTTCATTAAAGTAAATGAAAGCGAAAATAATCCTTTCTAACAAGACTGTGAATTATCGTGAGATAATAAATTCTTGTTTTATTTCAATTAATTAGATTTAGAAAGTCACCAGTGTGTGTAACTTCTTGGCTCAGTTATCCATGAGGTTCTGCTTTTCCTGCCTGCACATCAGCAGGTCAAGGCTGATGAAGAAGATCACTGAATTGGAGGACTGATCCGTGGCCTTTGTTCTGTAGTGCTGCTGCTCACATACAAACAGAGTTTGATGCAGAAGAAATTGCACCTGTCTGTACACCTTGTATTGCTAATATTGTCTGTATTTTGCTTCCAGATAACTGAAAGTTGGGATTCGCTGATTGAGCCCAGATTAATTGTTGAGCCTCCAATTAATGGATCAGGCATTGAAAACGGAGCAGTCTGAGATGTGAACACATGTAAATACTTGTGTGGACTTGTTTCATGAGAAGCTGCCTTCCAGGTCTGAGGGCAGCAGGTGCACTGGTGGCTATTTTTCGTAAATGGTTTCAAAATAAACACTGTTTTCTTGAGATATGGTTTTATGTTAATACGAGAATGCTTTGTTTATTATAGATTTAATATAGATTTGATTTTTTTAAAAATAGAATTTTAGTTTTTATATTCTACTTCTGTGAGCTGCAAAACTGGAATGGTTTGATAGAAAATATAAAATACGACCTTGTGCTGTGTTGGTGGCTCTGCTGCTATGTCCTGTTTTGTCTAGAGCAGTGTAACTGCTGTACAGAGCTTGCTGTAAGGATAATTAAAAATCACCATTGATAAAATATATATATATGGACATTCATGAGTGTTCCTTTGCTGCAGAGCATAACACAAATGCCCAGACCTTACAGTTCTATACAGGGTTCACCTGAAAGCATCAAGAAAAACTTAAGGATTTTAAGCTTCCGTAATTTAGAGAGGAAGAAAAACAGCGTTGGTGACAGAACTGTGCCTAGAACCAGTGCAATGCAAATGAATCCCAGACAAAACGACGTCCCAGCGCGTTAAGTCGAGCGGGCTCTGTAAACTTTTGTAGCCGAACCTTTCTGCCCTTTCAGTGCTGAAGTGTCTGCACTGCCTTTGCTCAGAGCAAGAAAACCGGACCCGGCTGCAACAACCGGCTGTGCAGCCGCACGGCGCGCTTCTGCTGCCGTCCGTGCCGAGGAAAACTGCTGTGCGCGCAGCCCCGCGCCGCTCCTGCGCCTCCGCCCCGCTTCTCCCGAGCCCCGAGCAGAGCGGGCGGCCCGGGCTGCGGCCGCTGCCCTTTGAGCTTCCTGCTCGGCCGTGAACCCGGGCTTTGCTCCTGACTCACTTTGTGGGCTTGAGGAAAAGCAAAGCCGCCCAGGAAAACAAAACAGAAGAGGAAACATCTTGGGTGGCTTCTGCCCGCGCGCAGCAGCGTCAGTAACGGTAACAAACAGGTACTTCGCTGCCCGCGGTGACGCCGCAGCCGCCGCCCCGCACTCGCGATCCCCCGGCGGGACGCGGCTCGGGGCGGCCTCGTTCCGTCCCGGCGCGCATCGCACCTCCCCGGGACATCGCTGCCCCCCGCGCCCGCCCCGCCCGCCGCTCCCGCTGGGCGCAGCTCGGGGCGGATCCGCCGCGCCCCTCTGGAGGCGGGGAAACGCCACGCAATACTCAGGAAAACCGCAGCGTGAGTTTCGTTTCTTCGGGGCCGGGAGGCAGCAGCGGGAGGATGGCGGCGTTGACCAGAGCTCAGTCGGAGCCGAACCTGTTGGCGCTGGAGGAGGAGCTGACGTGCTCCATCTGCCTCTCCATCTTCAGCGTCCCCGTGACGGTGCCCTGCGGGCACAACTTCTGCGCCTCCTGCCTGGAGCTCACCTGGGCCGACCAGGTGCGGGACTTCAGCTGCCCGCAGTGCCGCACCACCTTCCCGGGCCGCCCGCAGCTCCGCAAGAACACGGTGCTGTGCCGGGTGGTGGAGCAGCTGCAGGGCTGCGGGGCCGGGGACGGGAAGGAGGACGATGAGCGCGAGGAGGAAGAGCAGGAGGCGGCAGCCCCCATCTACTGCGACAGCTGCCTGCAGGCGGCCGCCACGCAGACCTGCCTCACCTGCATGGCCTCCTTCTGCCCCGAGCACCTGCGGCCGCACCGCGACAGCCCGGCCTTCCGCGACCATCAGCTGTGCCCGCCCGTGCGGGACCTGCAGCAGAGGAAGTGCCCGCAGCACAACAAGCTCTTTGAGTTCTTCTGCAGCGAGCACAGCTGCTGCATCTGCTCGCTCTGCCTGCTGAACCACAAGCTGTGCCACACCAGCCCGCTGCAGCAGGCCAAAGACAAAACCGAGGTGAGAACAGGGCGGCCTGGAGCAGAGCTCTGTGCAGACGCTCCCCGGGCGATGGCAGAACTGCCTGCTGTGTGTGGGGCCACGGGTGGCGGAGTGCTAGGAGCCACGCCTGGGCTGCAGTCCTGTATGTGCTTTGGCAGACAGCTGTCTGCCCTCCTACACTTGGCCTGAGGATGCCTCCATCGCGCGTGTTTTCCTTCTCTCTAAGGCTGTGCTCCTGCCCCCAGGACAGGGCAGTGCTGTGATGGTGCTGAGCACAAAGCAGAGCTGAGGGCAGTCCCTGCTCTGTGCCTCAGAGGCCCCAGCACTGCTGGCCTGCGGCACAGCGCCCGTCCCTCTGCACAGGGTCTGCTGTGCGGCCTGAGAGGCTGCAGGCACACGCTGCACAGGGTGTGTTCTAACAAAGCAAAGAATCATAAAAGTAGCTTGGGGAGATCTGTAGCACGAGCAAAATGAGCCAGGAGCTGTTCTCCGTGGGGCAGCAGGGAAGGAAAGCTGGCCAGTGCATCTCACAGCACGGCTGAAAATCAGCCAGCAGTTGGCTACAGCACATCTGGGAAGTGTAGGTGGTCGAACTCCTATCTGCTCAGTGCCAGCGTACAGGGCTTTACTGAAAACAGCCTCTCTGACTTTGCTTAGCAGCATTTCTCAGAAGTGATCCAACCACATCTGAGAAATAAAATACTGTGTTAAAATGAGAGGTGAGCAGCAGTATTTACCTAGTGCCCAAAGTCCAGGCTAAAAGCTAAAGCAAAGTTTATTTTCAGTACTGGGAGCTGCTCTGCTGATGAAAGCATTCTCCCTTATCGGAAGAATGACTCAAGGACACCTATCTTGCTTTTGGAAAAGGTGTGGCTGTGGGGGTGCTGGCCCCACAAACTGCGTGCATGCAGGAGGGCATCAGGAGCGGGCTTATGGGTTTTAAATGAGTAGTACTAACTGCTTGCAGTGGTTATCTAGAGCTTTCAACTGTGATTCTTACTTCAGTAACCATGACCTGACCAACAGCACAGCAACGCCTTTTCTAAACTGCTCTCTGATCTCTTCTCTTGCAGTCAGCACTGAAGAAGAGGCTGGCAGAGCTGCACAATCAGAGTGAAAGATCTGTGCAAGCAATGAACTCTGTGAAAACAATCCAAAGTCAAGCTGCTGTAAGTGACAACACTGTTTGCTTGGTGTGTGTTGGCTCCTGAATGCTGTTGCTACTCTTGTGGCAGTAGTTGTACTCAGATTGCCTTGTCAGGAAAAAACCTCACCAAGAAGGATCAGAAGAGAGCCATTTTGGCAGAGCCAGGCAGCTCCGTGGCAGATGGGAGCAAACACAACCTCCTTACAGGGGTGGTTCTCACCCACACAGAAGTTACTGAGCTGTAACTGGGATGAACCCATCCATTCCCATTACACCAGAAAGCATGCATCTGTGCAGCCAAGCTAAAGCATTAGTGAGCAGCAATGGCTGCACTACAGCAGAAATCTGGGAGAGCTCTTTTCCATGAACTAGCACAGCCCAGCCCTGCTCTCACCCAACGGCGGGTTGGTGTGTGTGCTGAGTGCTGTGCTGGGAGCTTCTCCCTTGTACCACCCCTTCTGAACCACCTGGTGGAGGCTGCAAAGCCACCGGGGGAGCAGCCCTTCTGTGCTCCTCTGGAACACCTGGAGGATCAGGATTAACTTTGTGTTAATCTGAAATGCAACCAAGCACACATCTGAGGCAGAAAGAACTGCAGTTGTGCCAGTACTGTCAGAGCTGCTGATAGACTGCACAGTCTGCTTCCAGCTTTTCTAACTGTGAGATGGCCTGGCTGGCCCAGCCCCGCAGAACAGATGTTTTGACACAGAACTGTCTTAATTTCTTAGGAGTAAATGACTTTTCTTTCAAACCATATAGAAATACATAGCTTTTCTATTGCCAGTTGCGAGTAATTGGAGTTTACATGCTCCCCAAATACTTTTTTATTCTTGCAGTAGTAGCAGCACTTTTCCCCTATCTGTTGGTTTGAAACCAGTTTCTGCCTGTTTCTGTCTGCTCCAGGAGACAGCTGCCAGAAAGCGAGATTTGCTGAGAGCTGAGTTCTTGGAAATTAAAGCTTTAATTGAAGAAAAAGAAAACCAGACCCTAAAAGTAGTTATGGAAGAAGAAAAAAGAGTTTGCAATAAGTTTGATTACATATATAAAATTCTGGGAAGTAAGAAGAATGAAATTCAGTCTCTGAGAGACCAGATTGAGATGGCACTGACCGAAAGTGATGATGTTCTCTTTTTAAAGGTAACGTGTCCTTTAGATACAAATCTAATTCTTCAGGTTTTTAGAATGCAGAATCACAAAAAACTGCCCTGGTAGTCCTGCTTTCCAATTCCTTTAGTCAAATGATAATGCAGTCACATGCAAGAACCTTCTATAACAAGATGTACCGATAAGTACACAAACACGAGTGAAAGAACACTGGAACAAAATGCTGTCTGCAATTCTACCTCTCCCCAGTTCAGCCCCTACTATTTGTACTGTATGCAGAAAGGCCTCTGAGGAAGAGAACTCACCTCTGCGAGGTGTTACATCTCCGTGCTGTGAAGCAGAGCTTTCTTATTGCTTCAGGTATCAGGAAGTAATGCTTATGGGCTGCTGAGTTGCTGCTGAAATTTTGCCAAAGCCCTGTCTGATTGTCACCTGTGCTCTTTTGCATTTGAGAAAAATGGACAAAACCCAACCCATTTAAAGTAACCTGGTTCTATTTCTCACACAAGATGGTCTGCATGAGATTTTCCGTTTCTCATTTCAGAGAGCAGCAGCATTGCAACGAACATCAATAAAAGAGGCTTTTGTCCCAGTAATTGAAATGGACCACAACATGATACATGCTGTTTATCAGTCTGCCATTAACCTTAAAGACGTTGTCAAACTTGCAGTGAATGTGCCCATGGATAAAAGAACAGATGGTATTGTATCACTGTGGGAACTGGCATTTTGTGCCTCAGCTTTGAGTTCAAATGAGAGAGATTCCCCCTCCAATACAAATATAAAAACTAGTGCAGCAAATAGAGCCCATCAATACACCTTGTGTCTTCCAACTTCCAAACAGAAATGTGTAGTCTGGGCTAAACTATATGAGAACAGAACGTGCTGGTTACTCTTACTTTTATCTGTACTTGGATAAATTATGAGTATTGTGATACTATGCACCTCTGGCACAGCCTGTCCTTTATTTTTTTTGAAGTAATTTACATTTTTATTATGTAGTAGGGTTGGATGCAGTCAGGATATAGATTTAAGAGGGAGACATAAAATGCCTTAAGACTGACAGGAGTATGGTTAAACAATTGTAAAGGTACTAATGGTGTCATTTTGTAGAATAAAGCCCTACTTACCGAGTTAAGCAGAAATATCTCCTGTCTGGGGCACGGGTAACTTCTGTGCAGTTCCACTTCTGCCAAATGTCACTTAAGTTCTAATTGCACACCTGAAAAAGAAGGTTGTTCATGCATTACTCTTCTTGGCAATACAGAACATAATGTGAAATATTGCTCTTGCAGCAAAACCACCACCTGGGAAAACAAAGCCACCTTCAATGCCTTCCCCAAACAAACCTGTTGTTAAAAAAAAGCTTGCTGCAGACTGTGAGTATTGAAGAACATCATCCTCTCCTAACCATGGCTTTACCATTAAAGAAGAGTTCAAGCACATACCCCAGGGCTTTCTGCTCTGGTGGTGATGCAGCAATTATGTATAATGAGCACTTGGGCATGGGATGGGCAGGATGTTTTGTGCTATTTAGTGATGGATACTGTGTGAGCTGCAATCTGCACAGATTCAGTGCATCAGCTTCAGCATGCATGTGTGCTTGCAGTAGTGTCAGTGTGGATGGCAAAGTGAAGCCAAGCCTCCTCATCCTCTGGTACCCCACTGCTCTTCTGCCTTGCAATGCATTGGAATATTTCTTTTTTTTATACTTGTACTAAACACCTTGCTTGCTTCTTCCATCGACTTATATGAAATGAATTCTGCTTATGAGCTAATCATGTTTTGTTTTTTTCCTCCTCTAAGTGCGTACCCACAAAGAGAAAATCCCTCACCCAACTAGAACCACTCTGCTGGAGGAGACAGATGCCCGTAAGTAGTGATGAGAGGCAGTCTCCAACATCTTGATGGGCAGACTGCTTACACTCTAAGGCTGCCACTTCCCCTGACGTGTTCCAGCCCAGAGTAGAGATTAAGCTCTTTCCGTGTTGATGACCCTCTGAAATGGGAGGCAAATAGTAGGTTGTGTTTCTTGTGTAGCATTCCAGTATGGGTGGCTTCAATGTGCTAGACTGTCAGCTTTATCTACTGCTGCAGTTCCAGAAGAGCCATGATGATGGCATTACAGTTGGCAGAGAGTAAACTAACAGTTAACTTTTTTTTTTTTTTTTTTTTTTTTTCAGAGGACAAAAAGAATCCCCTTAAACTCGGTAAGTTCAGACGTTCAGGATACTTGCTCTGATTTTTCACTGACTGCTCTTAAAGTAGTAAGCAGATGATTGCTAATGGTGGTATATTATAAAGAGTACAAAGCTTGACCAGACAGTGAGCAACCTGAGCTGATACTGAAATGAGCCCTCCTTGCAGCTAACAGCTAGACCAGATAACTCTGGAGATCTACTTCAACCTGAACCTTTCTGGTTCTGATAAGCATGTGGAGTTTCTTTCCAACTGACCAAATTCTCTTTTCTTCTGTCAACACAGCACCAAACGTGGGAGCACCAAACGTGGGAGCACCAATCACGGGAGCACCAAATGCTTCAACTGCTGCTATGGTGAAAGAACTTATTAGCAGCTTCCTGAAAAAACCCAGAGTGGAGCTTTTGCAGTGTAAGACACAAAACATAACACTATTTAAAGATGAACTTTCTGTGCTTATTGCACTGGTGCCATGTGACTTTTGTGGTCACCCGACAAAAAGAGTTATGAAGGGTTTGGCTAGGTAGGTGACCTTTAGTAGGTTATAAAATAGTTGTTACGAGTTCTGAAGCATAATGTGGGAAGTTTAACTTATTTTAAGTGATTCTTTTGCCAGATGAATCAAATTAATCTCCAGCATCCTGGTATTTGTCAGAGAGTAAATTAAGTTTTATCAGTAACATCTTTTGAGTTCTCCCAGATGACTGCATTAGGGGAAGTCTAGAAATGCAATGAAACCTACTGCATTTTTCTTTGGAATTAAATGTAGGCTTTAAGTGAGCCCACAGAGGCAGTGATATCCTTTCACTGCCAGATCAGCAGTCTCCCTCTGCTGCTGGCATACGTCTGGTTGGTGAGGGAAACCTGTGGGCCTGTAGGAAGGAAGGATGCTTACCCGCTGCTGCCTGCCTGCTCAGTGACACAGGGCTGCAGGTCAGCCAGCAGCTATTACAGAACTGCCTGCACTGTGGAGTAATGCTGAGCAGACATAGAGATGTCGAAATCTGCTGCCTACATGGGAGTGAATAAACAAAAGTGCGTTGATCTTTATTACCTTCTGTTGATTCATGTCTCTGTAGATGCTGCTAATGTCACACTGGATTTAAACACAGCTCACAACAAAGTGGCTCTGTCTGAGAGATACACCAAGATGTCTGTTTCAGACATCCTACTGAACTACAACCATCACCCTCAGCGTTTCACCGACTGTCCCCAGGTGCTGGGGTTCCAGAGCTTCAGGAGAGGCATCCACTACTGGGAAGTGGAACTGCAGCAGAACAACTTCTGTGGCATTGGTGTCTGCTATGGCAGCATGGAGCGGCAGGGGCCGGACAGCCGCCTGGGTAGGAACAGCAGTTCTTGGTGTATCGAGTGGTTTAATTCCAAAATTTCAGCCTGGCATAATGATATTGAAAAGTGCTTACCCAATACAAAGGCTACTAAGATCGGTGTGCTGCTTCACTGTGATGGAGGGTTTGTGCTTTTCTTGACTGTTGAGGAAAAGCTTAACTTGATCTATAAATTCAAAGCCCAGTTTACTGAAGCTGTGTACCCTGCCTTTTGGTTATTTTCCAGTGGCACTGTTCTCTCTCTCTGCCAAATGAAATGAAAGGTCTGGTACCTTCATGTAGTTTGCCTTCTGACATACAGATAATCATTCTTTGCAGTGTCTCATCTTTGTAACTATAAAATGTACACTGAATTCATAAATATTTACTTGCTTGTCTTAGTCTAAGCAATGTCAAGGATTCTGGGTTGAGTTTTTTTTTTTTTTGGTGGGTTTTGGTGTTTTTCTGTTTTGTTTTTTTCTTTGGATGAAAATTAATGACTCTTTTAGGTAGTTTAGGATGTCGGATGATTCTATGGCCTGCGTTGCTACAGCCTTTAGACAGTGATTGAGTAAAACAATGACAGTAAAAACCACAGAGAAAGGATTTGCAAAGACTTCACTGTCCTTCCAAAAGCAAAGTTATGATACAACCCATTAACAAATGAGTTGTTCAATAGCTGCTGTAGATTCTGCAGTCATTGTAAAGGATCTCCAGTTTTCAGGCCTGTGTTTCACAGGTAGAATATGACTGTTTGAGAAGGAAATAAGAGAGATTTCCTGAAAAAGTGTTTCAGGCTTTGAGGTTGGTCTCCGTCTTGCATTAATTTTTTCTCTATATTCAGACTGTTGTCTACAGCCAGGATTTAGAGTGTGTGTTCTCAGTGTGTGACTGCCACTGAGATGGAACGGAATGAACTGTTGAAAGAGGTAAATTCAGGTCTTGTGACACTCAGTTGTAAAAATCGTTATGATCTCATTAGAACTTTCAGAGCTGATGGATAAGACATGGCATCAGAATCACCAGGAAATAAATAACAGTGAATATATCACAGAGTCTTCAGGAAGATATCCTGTGTAGCATGTGGATCTGTAACAACTGTCTGTGAGTTGAAGCATTCTGAGTCATGTTCTGACCCGGAATATGCTTCACATCCTCACAGTGAAGGCTCTGGAGTATTTGCTGTGTGTTGAGGAGTTCAGGGAGTTTATGTTTGGTTTGTATAAGGAGCATAAATGTGCTGTTCGCTTAAAGCAGAGTCTCCTGTCATAAAACTTTTCCTCTTTGGAAGGCAGGATGCCCTCTGTTGGCATATTTTCACTTGCTTAGTTGGTAGAGGCTGGATTTCCCGTGGGGTGAATATGTTACTGTGACTCTGATTTGAGGAGCACAGTGCATAGAGAATGATGTTTCCTCCTTGTGTGAAGCCTGCTGGCAGGGAGGTACGTCCTTTGAAGCATACAGGAAATCAGCACAAAATGGAATACATTTCCATCTCCTCTGAAATGGATCTTTAATTGTCCTGGTCTTCTTTGGGTTGTGGTATGTTTCCAGAAGTCCTCATCATGTGCAGAGGAATCTGTACCTCAGCTTTTCTTAATTATAACTTTAAAACAATCAGTAGGCAATTGAGGTATTTGGATTTCCTAGTTATTGAGCCTGTACCTTGGTGATGACTCTGGACTTACTATGCTAGCTCTATGTCTTGGAGTACCCTGTGAAGAACAAGGAAGCTCGTATGATGGAATTCTTGGAGTCTAGTGGGATTTAGCACGTGCTGAGAAATAAAACACAAAGCTACTGCTGACAGTTTGAAAGGGAACTGTTGGAATGCTCAAAATAACCTCTGACTACATTTCATGTTAGTGAAAGAGTTTTAGAGGGCAACTTGTAGGAACTTCAGCTTTGTTGTCTTTGGTTACTTGGTTTGAAAGCTCATAGTACTTTGCAAAGGATAGCATCATTCCAATACTTCCATTCCTTGGTCCAGAATGGTATACGGAATTGATGCTGGATCTAAAAGTGTGACTGTGTCTTTGGAATGGTTGTTCTATTTCAAGAGTCCCACCATTCCAATGCACGGTTGCACTGAAACATTTTGAAAGGTGAGGAAGGAGGATGGGTCCTGTTAGGAACCAGGAGTGCAGTCAGAACTTTTTTCCTGCATTTCCAGCTTTCCAGCTGTGGGGACACAAGCAGTTTCATCTGAGAAATCCTGTCCAGTGAGCTGCTCAGCCATGGCATAGGGCTGCAGATTCACCCAGTGGGATGCTGGAGGAGTACCCTGTCCCCTTTTTATGGGGAAAAAAGGTACTCCAGGGGCTTGTGCAGTGGAGAAAGTCCAGCTCTTCTGTTATCCCCTTGGTCTTTGGGTTTCAAAGGGGTGTCAACATTAACCTCTAAGTCTTTGGGCTTCCTTTAGCCATAGCATGGAGTGACACTCAAGCTAAGGATAGAAGAGCTCTTATTCTGCCACGATGGACAAGGGTAGATTCTTTAAATGTGACATCAGCATGTATCATGTCATACATGTTCTGGTTTACCATGAGCACTGAAACAAGCCTGACACTGTACTATAGGAGGTTCTTGTTTTTGGTTTGTTTTTGTGCCAGAAATGAACCAGAATGGTAGAACGAAGGTCTGTTCGTTTGGAACAAAGAGAGAAACGTAACAGCTGAGTTGCCACACTTCTGAAAAGTGGTATTTCAGATATCTCCAGATTTATCAAAACATTGGGGCTGATACAACAGAGTAAAATATTAGTTCATAGAATCATAGAATGGCCTGGGTTGAAAAAGACCACAATGATCATTGAGTTTCAACCACCCTGCTATGTGCAGGACTGACTTAGTTATAGCACGATAGCTAATGGCTCAGGAAAACTAGAGTGGTTTTACTCAGCCAGTAGTACCATCAAAGCTACAATGGTTTTAAATAAAACATAGATATAAACATGGATTTCAGTTACACTTTTCTAAAGAAGCTGACTTAATCAGTCTAGAAAGAAAATGAATCCTGGTCTTAATAAAGCCATGATGTGTTAAATGATTTGCACGCTGATGTACAAATGAGAGTAACTGGTGAGATCCTCACCACTGAATGCCTTAATCTGTATTAATTTTTCTTCAATGAAAAGTAGTTGTAAAGTACTACAATTAGAAAAGTAAATGCTTGTGCATGTCTAAATGTGCCAATTGTGCTGGTATGAGCCATGTGCTTCAGTGAGCTGCTCTGTGCTGTAGCAGTTTCAGCTAGGTGTGCTTCTCAGGGCAGCAGACACTGATTTTTATGCCCTCTGTTTTACTGTCATGCCTATCATCTTTTAGATGTTGTTGACTGTTTCAGTTTTGATCTCAGTGAACTGATTTTTTAATTCAAGAAATATTAATTGTAAACCCAAACTCTAAAGGTTTTCTTCTGTACTCAGACTTGAAGCAAGCAGCACGGAAAGCAGAAATAAAGCTGCTGTTGTGTTCAAATGACTGCTGTCTTACTGTGTGATGCGGTGAGATGCACCAAAGTGGGGAGAGAAGAAAAGCCGTGCGGGCTGAGGTGGGCCCTGCACTGCCACGTCGATGGAGAACCGAATGGCGGGGTTGTTTAAAAGCAATGCAGATTGACCTTCAGCATCCAGGAGCCAAAGTTAAGCCAGGAAGCAGCAATAGGCGGTGATCCTCACAGGCAGTGCGGGCGGGGAGAGAACCAGGCGTGAGGTCAGGGCTGGGAACTGGGCGTAAAACCCCACGTTTCTAACATTTTTAAACGTTGACTGTAAGACTCAATCAAGAAAACGTTTCTAATTAAAGCCGGCCGAGCTTTTCGCTCAGGGCTTTGCAATTCCACCACCCTTGATGCGGTTCATTTTAATCATACCTCTTATGAAAAAATCAACCGCGCAGCAGCAGCGCGGTGATGGCGAGATGGGCTGTGGAGATGCTCAGCTCAGCCTCGCACAGGCACACGGCTCTCCCACAGCCCAGGAGCAGCAGCCACAGTGCCCTCAGGAACTCGATCCCGCCCTGCACGTCTGACAGCCCTGAGCACTGGCCATCTTCACCACCAGGCCCGTGCAGCTCCCAGAACTCACCTCTTGCTTCCGTGCATAGTGAGAAACAGGAAAAAACTGAGTTTAAATACTTTAATCCACACACTTTAGACCACAGATAAATACAGTACAAACAACAGGACAACAAAATGGCTCGTCAGGAAACTCAGCAGCAGAGTCAGTCCTTTGAAAACCTGCAGTTGCAAGGCTCTGTGAGGAACAGGGGGCTGGCCTTCCTCCCAAGAGCCTTGGGGAGCTCAGCCACAACAACAGGCTGCAGTACAACTGACTACAGACAAAGGTTTCGGTTTCACTGCTGTTAAGGCGGGGTTCAGCCCTGACAGCGTGCTGTGACTGCACTGAGGTGCAGCTTTTTATAGGCAGAGCCTCGCCCAGGCAAATAACACATACCATTACCCTCATGTATGACTGCAGTGAACCTGGCACCAGCCCACAGGTCAGTGCCAGCATCACCTGCTTCAGAAACACTGGATTAAGCCAGCGAGAATCGCGAACAAAGCAGAGCTGCATGGAAAGCTCCAGAATCACGCTGGGGACAGCCCAGCTGCTGGCAGCGAGGGCTGCAGTCCCACTCCTTACCCACTCCTGAACACCAAAGGAAGAAGAATGTGGCATTTAAGAGCATTGTCATGTCAAGAACCACATAACCACTTGCCTTCAGAATCTGCATCGGAGGTTCAATGTTATGCTGTAAGATCTCACGCAGTTTACAGCAACGAGCATTCAGTTTTGCTCTGAGATCTGTTTCTGGGAATGCAGAGAGAATGGTGCAGATGGCTTTTGTTGAGGTTGGACACTTAAACTGCACCATAAGGAAACAAATGTTTTATGACCATTCCTGTTTCAGTCCTCTGTAAGAGAAACATAAAACCCACCCAGTCCTAAGTGTCTTTCCTGGTTGATAAAACTGTTTACAATTTCCCCTTTTAGTCTATTATTTGCATGCTAAGCTCAGGTTGGTTTTTTTTTCTTTCCTTATTTAAAGCAACTTCAGAATATGCACACACATCCAATACAAATTCCAAATCACAGTATCACAGTATTTCCAAGCTAAAGAATAACTTTTGTTTTTTAAACTTTTAACATGCTGGTATTTTCTTGCAAATAGTTATTATTACAGTTACAGCTTTTCAGAGTCACGTTTGTACAGTATTCTGACCACTCATTACTAAATAGGAATAACTACTATACAGTTGAAGTTACAAGCTACAAAAATAAAAATCCATTCTGTTTAACTATAAAAATCCTATAAAGAGAAGATGGCTGTAGGTACTCAAGGATTACAACATTGGTAGGTGACAAAATGGCTTCTGAGGGATGTAAACTTCAAGGACTCAGAATGCAACAAACTCACAATATGAGTTCCCACTTACCCCTAGGAGAAAAGGATTTATGCTGAAACCTGTAAACAAGTGGCAAATGAAGCAGTGCAACAATTATATACAATAATAAGAGTTTACAGCACAGTAAACAGGGTAGAATTAATGAGAAGTAAAATTTTAAATACATTCATACTTTCAAGCAGTAAAGGCCAGATCCTCAGCTAAAGCATGACAGCATAACATTACTAGGTTTAATGGAGGCATGTGGCTTTACTCCAGCTGAAGTCTGTCCCTGAGATGCCCAAAACCTGCACTGAGTATTCAGCACTCTTTGATCCTGCTGTGCCTTTAGAACAGTGGCCTAAACAACGCTGCAATACAGAACCTGTAAATTCTCTCAGTACATCTAATCACTAAATGCCCTCTGTTGTTTCTTCCCAACTTTCCAGGTGCAGCTATAGTGTCTCAGAGCAAAAATCAGAGCATTTTTAAGTAAGTGGTTCACATTCAACAGGATTAGCGATGCTACAACTGTTTTTAAATTTAAGAACATCCTAATCTACTCCTAACTGAGTACAATCTTGCTTCTTTTTTAAGAAAACTGCAAATACTGCTAAGTATGAGATACAGAACAAAAAAGGATTTTCAGTTAGAAAATGTGAAGGCTCCTAAATGTCCTACTCCTACCCACAAAATAATTAGCTATGTTGCAGTGCTGCTCTTCCAAAAAGTGTTCCTAAGTATCGTAACATTCATACTGTTATGCTGTTTACAGCTAAGGTACAGTGCTTTAAGTTGGTTTGCTTTAACCAGTAGATACAATAATATACACTAAAAAAAAAAAAAAAAAAGCTGTGAGCATCAGTGCATGTAATGCAGAGGCAGAAGGAACTGAAACAAGAACTTCAACTCCTGGTTCTGAGAACCTGTGAAGAATGTGGACATTCTCCCCAGCAGCAGAGAGCAAAAACTGCACTGTGAGAACAGGCCTGGGGGCTAGGAATGCTACACATGAGGTGCCCATTCTAATATTTTCCAGGTATTATCTGAATAAATCAGTGACTGAGGTGACTGAACAAGGTGGGATGCTGTGTGAAACCATTCAGCGTGCTTTGCTGACAAGTTAGCCAGCATAAAGCATCACAGAGAAAGCTTGAAGTGGAGAAATGCATAAATAAAGAAGTCAAACAAAGCCTAAGACAAAAAGCTCTGTGCGTTTGGAAATGCACACATACACCCTCCTCTCAATGCACACACAAACAAACTAGGTTGGAGCCAGGCAGGAAGCTATGCACAGGAAGGCTCTCCTTCAGTTTGCTGTTTGCATTTCACAGGACTGGGAGCCTACAGCAAAGGATGCTACAGAATCTGACCAAGCTTCTGTAACGCCAGCGTGTGCTGCCATCAAACTTCAAAATCAACTCTCAACAACCACTTTTGAGTGCTTGACAATTTTTGTTAGTATTCACTCTCCACATTTTACATAAGGTTACACTGTATGAAGACTGCCAGAATAAACTACTCATTATTTGTCTTTATTTTTCCTCAATATTAATCAGTTAGAGGGCAAGGGAGAATCCTTCTTTGCAGGCCATGAGACCCAGCTGCAGAATACCCTCTTCTGGGTAAATGATATACTGCAGTATTTTGAAGTTTGCAGTGCTTTCGGGGAGCTATCTGTACAGCAGCTATCTGTACCAGTGCTTTCTGTGCCAACAACATTAAAACAAAAACATGTAGCAGTTTTAAAGCCGTAACACACGTCAACATTAAACAACTGCAGCTATATTACAGGCTACAGAAAGTAATTTATGTCAGCATTACAATCTGGGAGCCCATTGCTCATATTCACTTTTAGAAGTCGGACAAAAATTTAAACAGTCCCATAAAAGAAACTCAAAATAACCAACTCTATTTGCAACACAGCGGAAAAGAGGACACATTTAAATGAAAGGATGGAGTGTAGGAAGCAGCAAGACTTCCCAACAGATTCTAGTGCTAACATCTGCTTAAAAAGCTTTTGTTGTTATGCATATGACAACTACATACAGTTGCAATAGGAGGATGACCACATGCCTGGTTGGAAACTGGACACATACAGCATATCCTCCACAGGATAAGTGCAAATTTACAAGAAGCTTTCCATGTCTGTAACAGCTAGACTTGCTACCTGTTGCTTCCTGCAATCACCAACAGTCAGTTTGTGAAACAAACTTCTTCACTCCCACACCCACCAATGGAACGATCTGTTCAATACAGACAAGACAATTTACCAGGGGCTCTGCCAACAAACGCACACTTACATGTTACTTTCAATTCTCATCCTCCTTGCTTTCTGCAAAGGTACTGATAGATTTCCATTTCCCAAAGAGTATTTCACATTCAGGACTGGATTCCTGGCAAAGTGCACTAAGCGTGAGGACCCAATGTGCACAAACACAGCACAGCATCACTGGAACTTGAACAGATGTGGAAAACCAGCTTAACTACTGGCAAAGAGGAGGGAAAAGAAAAGCAAAGCTTTCCAAGTCATTTTTCTACGTGTTGGGAGTTCAAAGAAGGAAGTTTTTGAACGACTGAAGATTCTTAAGCTACAGAATAATGTGAAAAATCATCTGATCAATGTCAGGGAGCTCTTTAAATTGCACTCTGAACAGTTCAGATCAAGCAGCCAGTGGGTGCGACTTCCTGTGAGGAAATACTGCCCTTCAGAGCACATACTCTGCTTTTCCGGAGTCATTTGTTTGTAAATGAGAGTTACGTGAGAACCACAACACAGAACTTAAATATTTGTTGGATGCTAATGTCTGCAAGTTAACAAATAAAAACAACTTTCCACTAGAAGGCTTCTGAAGCTACAAATTGAAACTCTGTAACAAAACTAAAAAGTTAGGGTAACAGGTTTATCTAACATTGCATGTGTTTGCATATTTTAAATACTTTTTACATAGACTTCCCTGTATTTACATACTATAAAACAATTAAGATGAAGTGTGGGAGGCTGATGAGTGAAACATTTACAAATGGTGTCTGCCTTACAGTTTACCCTACTCTGATCACATTTCCAGATAATCAGTAGTATTTTCAGATCTAGCACGTACACTTCCTAGAATGAAAACTATCAATTTAAAAACGTCCTCCAGATAGAACTACAATTAAAGGTTTTAAAAATACTAACTTTACCAAGACTTTAATAAATTATTTTAAAATATAAATAGTTCAATTTTTAAATAGTTTGCTAATGCAAACTTCGTTTCATAGATTGTTGAAAAACAGTTTCTTCTTGCAAAACCCAGAGACAACCTACCTTACCTAATGGTATCTCTCATAGTCAGCATAAAGAAAAATGAAAAATGATGGGGGAAATTTAACAAAAGCAGCAACACTTGGAAGTTCAGGTCCCTGATCTTAACTCATAGCTCTCATCTGCTGCAGGTTTACCTATCAGAGGAAAAAAAAATAGGAAGCAGGTTTTCACTTCTGTTAACTGAAGGTGTTTTCACCTGACAAGCTTCAGATGTGTCAAACTGACAGTGCCCATGCACTAGTGTATGTGTACTTAACCTTTAATATGAGTATAAACCACTTACAGTTTTCTGGCCCTATACTCACATGAGGAATGATGACTGAGGGTCAAGAGAGATCTCTGATTCCTTAAGGGCCAGTCAGAAATCAAATGTTTAATTCCCCGTCCAACCCAATAATACATGCGACTGAACCCTCTAACCTCTGCAAACCTAGCCCTCCTCCTCAGATTGAAACAGTTAACAGATGGACTTGCTACCAATTGTTTTCAGGTAATTGCAAAGCAAGACCTTTAAAAGCCTCTTAAAAATCCCTAAGAATGATGGTTTGCCAGCCATCATTATTTAAAACCATCCAATATATATTTTAAACAGCTCCTTTGTCAAGTTTTCCTTCAGCAAGCCTCCTTAAGAACTAAAATGCATTGCTAGTTAGAAAAACTAGGATTAATCTCTCACTGAACTGATGCAGTCAGTCAGAGGATCATTCAGTGCAAATCATGGTACAACTATTTTCAAGCTGCCCAAGTTTTGGGTACTTGGGCTTACAAAGCCATTAACAGAGTCATTTGCTAACATACCCTTCTCAGAAACCTTTGGTCCAAAAACATCTTACTTGCAAAGTGCCTTGCCAAGAGCCCCCACATCCTCCACTTTCCCAGTCAAACCTGTAAGATATGTACTGCACAAGCAGGTATACCAAAAGGAATTTATCCTGCTCTCAAGAGATGGCAGCCATGGGCAGGCTGTCCTCAGAAAACAGTTCATATTCTACTTATTCTGGTTTTCTGCTATGGAACTGTTCCTGGCAAAAAGAAGAGGTGGAAGCAGGCTGAACTCCCAGTTGTTCTCCCTTCCAAGGGTATATGCCTTTTGCATGCAATGCTGCATATGTGCAGAAGATGCGATTCTAGAGCAAGGAAGAACTGCAGCACCTGGCCCTTCCCTCCCATTACAGTAACTTGTCCAGCTGGAGAGGCTGGGTACCACTGCCAGTCTAAAAGGCAAAACAGTTGTGGTAATTCAGCTGAGAAAATGTTCATGAATGTGAAATCATGGTTTCCTCAACCCTAATTAATTCACAAGTATGAACCTTACAGCATAATCCTTAAGCTAGATTAAGCATTCTCAGTGTTTTTAATGGGTTGAAGTTCTTCACTGCATTATGTTGCGTCCCACAAAATTTATACATCTTCATCTGTCTGTTCTCTCACGTGCTCCTGCTCAGACACGCTGGATGCGTCGTCATCTGTTTGTTCACCCGAATGATACAACATCAGTGCATGTGTCTTATGAGTTATGGTAACAGTGCATGGCCCCTGAGCCCATGGCTCTCCGTCCACCTGCATTGGCATCTTTGAACTCTTCAAGATCAGCTAGTGTTAAACAGAAGAAGACACAATCACAGCAGTTCAGTGTAGCTCTGAAGATACCTTTTTAAACTACAATATACTGATGTTGCACAGTTTGAGACTTGCAGGAGAGAAACTCAGTACATAATTCGTTGCACTCACAGGCCACTGACCACAGCAGCAGAGGTTGTTAATTATGCACATCAGCTTTTACTAAGTAAAGAAACATTCAGCTCAACTGCAGACTGAAACCTTAGGCCATACAGATGAGTGCTTGAAGCTGTATGCTGCGTACTGAAAAAGACTTAGGGAAACACGTTCATAAATACTACTTACCCTCACTGTATGTGCCTGCCCTAGACGAACAGGATTTGCTAGTTTCACCTGAATCTGAGCACAGTGGAAGGAACCATGAACTCCAACAACTTCCAGAAGTCCATCATCATGTCTATGAATTAAGAAAGCAGGCTCTTTTTTAGGGAGGCTTATGAGCCCTAGAGCACGCATCCAAACATTACAGTCTTCCATTGTTGTTACCATAGAGAAGATAAACATTAAAATTATTTATTTCTCCTGAACAGTAGGCCGCGTTGAATAGCAAGGGAAGCTGTACAAAAACAGGTCTAATACTGAGCAATACTCCAGCTGGTATTCTCTACCTGGCTACTGGCAATTACAGGTATATTGCATTCTGAGACTTACAGTGCATGTTTAAAGCCCTTAGTGGATTTCTGTTCTAGAATTTTTTAAGTTTTCTGTCTTTCAGTCATTTTAGTCCAGAGGAAATCCAGAGGAAAAAAAAAAAAAAAAGGCTTTTTTTTGCTAAAGAACTTTGTCCAAATAATTTTTGGAAGCTTAGCCTCATAAGCATTTTAAGGGAACTATGAAATGTATTAATGTGTACCTTGCCAAGGGATAAGGTTCATCACCCATTCCTTCCCAGAGCCTACAGCCACCTCCCCAGTATCCAATGTTCAGAACAATGATGCCTTCCAAACTGGGTAACTCGATTCTCTCACCATCCAACTCTAGCTTTAAAAGAGAAACAGAAGTTAATTATCACATAGTGAATTCAGAACTGCAAGAAAAGCTAATTATTCTCTATCCATTTAACAGACTTATGCTTGAAGAAAGAAAAAAAACCAACACAAAACCAGCCTATGAGCTAAGCTGACCCTGTAGAAATAGAATGTGTTTTCTTTTCATACTTAAAAAAAAAAAAACTTCTGATTTTACAACAAGATCAATATGTTGTGCTTTCATAGCTTGTAATCGATTTCTGTTAATACAAAATATAAAACAAACAAAACGAGAACACACACAAATAAACCCTTATTTATGTAAGTCTCTGGTGCAGATTTTAACTCAGTCTCTGTAGTTAAACTGAAACCCGAGCCAAGACATGAAAAAATTTCAGGAATTCTCTGTAAAGTCAAAGGCATGAGTTCTGTGATGCAAGCTGCAGATGGCAAAGGAACCTGAACATCAGAAAAACTCCACGTAGTCCAGAGCTATCCTTACACAAGTATCCTTACAGAGTAAATTGCAAAACTTTTTCCCTTTCCTTTCATAAGGTAAATTTTTATACTCCACTATTTGTCCAGTAAATAAGGAAGTTAAAAAACTTACCTCAACTTTCTTGTTAAGATCTTTACATTCTTGTACTAAGCAGTCTTTGGTTCCATAAAAAAAATAAACGGCCTACAAAAAACAAGGGGAAACAGAAAACACTCTTAGAAAAAGACAACACATATGAAGCCTACTGTAAATGCTCATGTGTAGCCAGGAGCAAACCTTATCATCTAACATGCATACGTAACACACTTGCACAACAGGACAGCTGTGCAGAGACTGTATCACTATGATTCACTAATGCCTGAAGACACGTTTTCTTTCAGAATAATGTAGTCTGAAAAAGAGCTCTAAAGGCTGAAAATAAGCTAAACAGAAATTCATATATAATATTTAATTAGAAGAACTTATGTCACAGTAGAGGGAAAAATCACGTGTAAGTCAAGTCAGCAACTACAAGGGGAAAGTGTCATTTTACTCAACACACCTTGTTAATAATTCTGCTGGAAAACAAAGAGGGAGTCTTCTCACGATGGGCATGGAAATTTAAAGCCATAAGAGCATCAGGTCCTATAGAAAAGTAGTTGTTCATTGTGAATACCTGTAAGAGAAGATTTCTATTTATGATCCTATTAGGTATTAAGAAGTAAGAATTAAAAGCCACCACAATTAATGGGAAGTAGGTAACCAGAAAATATAACCATACAGGTATTCCATAGAATCCATGCTTATAATTGCAAGCCATACCTTTGGCTTCCTTAAGTTGTAGTATCCTTTGCTTGTCACTTGAACTTTCCATCTGAAAAACAACAGCTATTATTTAGACTTGTGACAAAGAAACTATTCTCAGTATCAGAGTGGCAGCTAAGGATCTCAAAAGACTCAAAATTAATTAATTTAATTGCATCATGAAGGAGTTAAGCATTGTAGAATAACTAAATATAGACTAATTTTGGACCTCAGTTATTCTGCAGTTTCCTAACCCACTTAGGAACTTTACATACACTGCTTTAATTGAGTAGACCTATAGTTATATTTGGCTCTACAGAATTTACCTTTCCACTGTTACTCACCTGTCCAGCACAATTCCATCTGCCTCCATCACATTTCGTAAGATTTGTTCCACAGGGACTTCTCCAGCATAACCTGCACCCCAGCCCAGTGTATTGGACAGGTCATTACCTGTTCCTAGCGGTAAAATTGCGACTTGCGGAATAAAGCGTTCTTGCCCCTAGGATACAGAAGCAATGCACATTAGCTACCTTTTCAGCATTCGTTTTCCACCTTCTCTCCCCAAACGTTTGAGTTACACAAACACCATTAACCTTCAGAGCAGCTTATTACCCAGTGCTTAGTGACACAGCTGCCACTATTAGCACAGCAGATGGCCAGCTGAAGCACTTACAGTAAGGATAATGCAAATAAAGGCAATGTTAAGCCATTGCAGGGAGAAAAGAAAATGCAAACATGGTAGAGAAACAGTGCATTATTAATAGTGAACAGAACAATCCCTCAGAGAAATTATGCTGGTTCTGGAAAAAGGGAAGCCTGAACTACTTGTCTCATTTCCTGATCTTCCACCTGCTGCAGCCGTGGGTAAGTCACTAATGCTGTTACTGTGTGTACCTCTGGGGAAGTGCTCTGCTATGCATGCAGAGAGTGACATAAAGAATACAAAGGCTGCCAACCACAATGAAACAAAAAGACTTACAAGATTGAAGTGATGGCAGTTCTAAAAACCTTCACATATATGGACAGCAATTTACATGCCCCAAGAAACAAAGCCACTAGACAACGTTCAGCAGTGTCACATACACACACAACTGTCCTGACCAGATGCAGAGATCATAATTTCTTCAGGCAAAGAGGAAAGAACAACGTATAAAATATCCTGTAGCAATTTTCAAATAAGCTTTCAAAATCCAAAGTTTTATATATGTTTCTTGAGCTACAGAGATTCATAACACAATGCATTTTTGTCCTCAGTACTCATAAGCAGTTCTGCAAATATTTCTCTATAGGCCTATTCAGGAAAATGACCATGATAAAGGCAGGTAAGAGATTAGGCTGTAGCACTTCAGCAGCTCCAAAACTCCTTTCACCATAAGACAGCTTTTTATTTGAAGTACAATACCTTTATTTTCATTTCATCGACTGCATCCAGGACCCAGCCTACTGTACCATCCCCACCACAGACAAGAACCCTGACAGCATTGCAAGGCAGCAAGGAACAGAGTTGGAGTGCTTTAGCAGGTGTAATTTTGCTTAGATCAAAAACCTAGAACAAAGAAAATAAGTTCTGTAAGTTCACAGAATGGGACTCAGGATTTGCCTCACAGATAAACAACTTCAAGATGTTCATTCTAATACAAAATGAACATTCTCCATCATATTACATAAGCAAATGAGCTGTTTTGACTTTTTATGACCTGGATTCAGTCTCCCAAGGTCACAAAATAGCTCCAGATGCTTCACTAGCAATAAATGCCATTGATAAATCAAGCTGACCACGTCCTAAGAAAATCCTGTATCCAAAAACACTACAAGGAATTTTCTAAAGATGAAAGACTTCAGTTGAAAGTTATTTTAAGATATTCAAGATACTAAGAAGTCTGTTTTTTAAAGCCTCACTGGGATGCATTTGAAACAAAGGCGTAGTTTTATTAGTTTTCTAGTTTTTTCTATTAGTCTGTATACTAAAGCACTGTTTTGAACTTCAAAAGAGGAATATTAAGGTGCAGCCAGGAAATCCAAGGAACAACTCACTGCCGTTACGTCAACATCCTGTGCTTTAAGGGGAAAGTGTCAGCACAGAGCAACAACGGCCAACACCACCATTTTCACAAGGAAAGTGGGGATTAACAAACACATTTCAAATTAAGAAGATTTAAATATTTCATTTTCTAAGAACTAGCAGACTACTTTGAGAGCCAGACACTCATTATCAGAATGACTACATGTATTACTATACACAAAAAACGCACAACTAATAGAAGAACCAGAACAAACACAAAGGTGGGAAGACCTCCACATTTTAGTCTTCCTGTAAACCCGTTCTTTCTAACAGAACAAACTGCATGAATTCGTTTTCCTTTATTCTTCCTCAAGATCTTATTGCCATTATGGAAGCACAGTGATGTTGATTCTAATTTAAATTTTTATTTTACTATAGTGGCTTTTCATTGCAATTACCTGAACAGGGTTCAGCAGAATTTTAAATTCTCCTAGTAAAGTTTCACCCATGTTGTTCCCACTACGAGTGTTTGCCAGCACAATTACTGGGATCCAGTGCTCTCTGCAATAAGGGACCACCTGCAAAAAGGCAACAGTAAGTAACTTGCACTAATTCTGCCTGTCTGAAAATGTCTCAAGTCTTGCTCCAAAACCTGTCCCGTTTAAGTGCTGATTAGCTGGAAGTCATCAAAATAAACAATTATTTTCAGCACACCAAGGCCGAACATTTCCATTCTGTGGTGTCCAGGACAACAAACACTCCAGGATTAGTAAGTAACAAAACATTACAGAACTGTTCAAGAGCGATGTTTTTCACACATGGTTTTGGTATGCAACAATTCCTGTGATGTAAGAACAACACTTGTTCCCACATCTTTACCAAATTTTCAGATTTTATTGAAAAGCAGAAGCCAAACAATATATTTAAAAAAGGAAGCAATAGACAATTACCTTTTCATAATCAGTTCTTTTGTCTTTACGCATCTGGTCGATTGTAGACAAGTAGTAGGGTGGAATAATTAAGTCTCTGAATTCTCCAAACGTGCACTCCTCAATCTTTAAACAATCCAACATGCATTCATCATGGACAGTGCACTGACACCACACGCATCTGGCGAAAAAGACCAAAAAATCAAGAGAATTCATCCTCAAGTAACTGGCATATAGATTTTGTATATTTATTTTAGAGAGACATAACTCTGGAAAGTACTCACTCACATGCACTGCTACATGTAATATTCTAAGCACATTACAGAGAACACTGTGCAGTCTATAGAATTTCAAATGACAATCTATTGGCTACAAAGAAAAATACAGAACTTGATCATGTCCCTGAACATTCAGAAAAATGTTTCAATTCTGTAAACTAAATTACTTTAAAATTAATTATATGCTTTTAACTCCAAAAGTCAGATGCTATAACTATTCACTTGCAGTGTATGTAACATAAACAGTCACACTCAGAGCTCATATGTAAAATTGAACTCCTACCCATCCTTGCTGAGCATACACAACAGTACAGCTCATTAACTTAAAATGTTACTACTACATTAAATGCCTTTTTTAGTATACTACTTAACAGTGGTAATATTCCCAAGTCTGAAACCCAAAACACTGCACAGTACTGTGCAAGGCCCATTGGATTTTGTTATGCAAAACTGCTCAGCTTTTTTGGCCTATTCTGAAAGCCATCCTGAAAAACAGAGTAGAACAAGAGGGAATACTGCAACACCTCCTACCAGCCTCTGCAAAACATTAATCCTCACTTGCCACATCCAAAGCCTTAGTTTAAGCAGCTGTGAAAGCTATTTTTGGAGTCTTTCTGGTTAATCCAGCACACAACTAGAGCAGCAGTGATATTTGCCTGTACTGTAGACAGTGAATATCAATTCACTGCGCTTTCTTCCTCTCCCACTTTTGCATCCTAAATCCCACCCCTTTCCTACCCTGCTAGGCACACTCTCAAGATTTCATTTCTGACAGCCCGTTTAAACGGGAATTCTGCTGACTTACTGACAAACTGACAGTATAACACAGGAGTAAAGAAAAGCAGACATCCTATGAGAAGGCAGAGGTCACACTTCACACTGCTCACAGGATGAGGACTATCAGCTCTCTATTCTGGCCCAATGTGCCCAACATCTCATGCTGATAACTTTAAAAGCACCCTTACTGATGGCAGTATGAGCCCTTGAATGTTTTCTTATAATTTCTTTATCATTATTACCACAAACTGTAACAATGGATTATATTACACCAGCTTTTAAAACCTTCCTATTAGCTTATTCTGGGTGTTACTACATGGGAAAAACAAAACAGTTATGGTAGAGTTGCTTGTTCCAGCTGCACTGATCAGATGCCAATTTTGCAAAGTTACATGTGCATTTTTGGCAATCTGAAACACGTGCTGTGCCATTGCTATGATCACACTGTACAAACAAGCATGTCAGAACTCACTTATGCCTGTCCTCAAAATACAAGCTTTCTTGGGCTTAGCCTTCTAGATGTAATTATATAGCAGCTAGCATATTATGATGGAGAAATGCAATAAAGAGAACAAGTAGACATGAGAGGCAATGTCTTAACCTATGAGTGAAATTACTGACCAGAACTCATTTTCTCATAAGACTCTTTCACAACTGTTTTTGTGGCAACGTGTTCCAGCAATACCGGGGTAAATACAGCACAGAAACGGCAGCGCACTTTCTCACAGAAAGCCAACCTCCACCGCAGTACCTGTAATCGCAGAGCTTGGGCTGCGTGCCGCACTGCTGCTTGCACACCACGCAGTGGCTGCAGAGCGGGACGTTGCCCCTGATCCAATGGTGCGGCATAGAGCCGCGGGCTCCAGCTTCGCTCCTCATCACGATTTCCTTGCAGAGGAAATGCTGGTCGGCCTTCTTCAGGCATCCCTCGCAGACGCGCAGCCCGCAGCAGCTGCAGAAAGTGCCTCTGAGGACGTGCTGAGCGCACACGCAGCAGTAGGAGGGCTGCCCGAAGAGGTCCGTATAGTGCCAGTCGTGCTTGCTCTTGTAAAAGATGTCACGTATCAGCATCTGCCGCCGGGAGCGGTGGAAGCTGCACCACAGAGTGATCAGCACGGGCAGGATGACCGAGCACAGCGTCCAGAACACCAAGCTCCGGTCCGCGACGACCGAGGACATGGAGAAGGCTCCGCTCCCGCTCTCTGCTCCCGCCATCCCCTCCGGCGCGGCCTTCCCGCCTACCCCCTCACGTCGCCCGAGGAGACGGCACGGCGAACCCGGGGCCGGCTGCCCGCCGCGAGGAAACGACGGGCGGCTTCAGGAAGCATCTTCCAACCCCTCGCCGGCTCTAAGCGCTTCCGATCCGATCCGATCCGATCCGATCCGATCCGATCCGATCCGATCCGATCCGATCCTCCCGGCTGCGGGGCCTCGGCGCCGGCAGGGACGAGGATCTCCGTGCCGCCAGCCCGTTCGGCCCGGCCCGCAGCAGCCGTGGGGGGGCGCGAGGCGGAAGCGGAAGTGGCCGCGGCGGTTGCCGGGCAACGGGCGCCGCCCGGAAGTGGCTGCCGCCGCCGGGGCCGAGGTGTGATTTGTGCCCGGAGCTTCGAAGCCCCGCGGCCGCGCGCGGAGCGGAAACGTTGGTGCGGGGCGGTGCGGGGCGGTGCGGTGCTGTGAAGGTTCCCCTGTAGCAGTTCTCAAAACACAGCGACAGTCGGCGCTATTAGAAGCCGCAGTTCTTTGTGAGTCAAGAACAAAACGTCCAGCTGTGAGCCCAGGCTGTGCAGCGCGTCCACACGGACCGGCTGCAGGCCGGCTCAGCACTGCTGGGGGTGTTTGGCCCGTGACACCTATGAGCGAAACACGTTTCTTAAAGTCCTGTCCTCACTTCCCACTCTGCTAAATGATGAAGTCGTTTACCATCCCGTTTTCAACCAAGCTGTCCGAGGAAGAGAAGAGTTTCGGTGCTTTCAGCTGTGTGATTCCATGAACTCGATACACATTTCTGCTGTGTGTTTGTCCTGCTGAGAGTTAAACCAGGTTAATGCATTCCTCTGTGTTAGAGACAGGAGTTTTTAACAATTCAGTTTGCCTTTCAGGCAGCTGAGCCCATCACTGTGCTGGGCGGAAAGCAGGGCTCCTATTTTCACACAATTAAAACACCTTGCGAAGCTCAGAAGGCTCGAGTGGAAAAATGGTCTTTTGTTTTCTTCCCCTCAGGAGCAGAGCTATGCTGAGAATGTTTGAGCAGATAATAGCCATATTCAAAGCTTCACACCAGATGTCCTCAAAATCGTCCTGTAAGTCACATTAGTTAAAGCATCAACAAACATTTGTGACTGACGTAGCTACTTCAAATAGGCTCGTGCCTCCGTCAGCTCTGCTCAGACTGGAACAGGCTGAGAGAAAGCAGAATCAGAATGAAGCAGTTGCTTGTGTTTATCTTCCTCCTGGCCCTCATGACCGCCTTTACAGGTAGGAGTCTATAGAAAACAAACCCGTGTATGGATGTGATTACGGAGCAAGAGATGCAGAACATATTGTCATAATATCAGTGCTTTGTATTTTAGGATCTTCATATTTCACTTTTAATACTTAACTTTTCATACATTGCAGGCGTTCCATGATCTGATTTTGAACAAGGGAGCTATTGTATCAGATATTTTACTCTCTGTGTGCACACTGTGGTCATTTATTCTAAAACCAAAACACTATTTTATGAGCTTATAATTTTAATATTATTTCACCAAACTCTCCTTTGCTTTACTTAGAAAAATAATCTTGAAAGTAAAGCAAAACAGAAGGGAAAAGAATCGGAAGAGTTACTAACTTCAGTGATTAGGTGGTGCTGTTATATTTTTTCAATTTGGGCAGTACCATTAATATGTAGGATTTGTTACATGCTGGTAGGACCAGACTATAGAAAGCACAAGTATAAAAATGGTTTAAAATTCCACTCGTATCTTCTGGAATGCAGAATCCCCTGGGAAGGGGCTGTAATGAAAGAACACTTTGTATATAGACAAAAATAAAGTTTGGAGACATTTCGTTTTACAACTGACAGATAAAACATTAACTTCATGGTAATTTCATAACTAGCTGCTGCTTTTCCATCTGTAGACACTTCACCAATTCTGACTGAGAAAGAAGCCAAACAGATTCTGAGAACTCGTCGCGAAGACAGACAAAGAAAAGCTGGTTTCCCCGATGAGCCAATGAGGGTGATTTCTGGCATTTACTTTTAAATTGCACTTATTAAAAAAAAAAGCGGGGG